CGCCTGGCCCGGCAGGAGCGCGAGGTGCGGGGCTTGGCGGCCGAGGTGGCGCGGCTGAAGGAGGCCTCCGCCTGGGCGTCCCCCGAACGGCCGGGCCCGGAGCTGCGGGCGCTGCGGGAGGAGAACGAGAAGCTGCGCTACCGCCTCCTCCACCTCCGCCGCAGCCTGGCCGCCGAGCGGGCCCGCCAGGTGAGTGAGAGCCCCGCGGCTTCCTTCGGCCCGCTCCCACCTTTCCCCGGCCTAAAGAGGGACAGACTGCAAGTCCCATCATCCCCAGTCCCTTGGGGGAATGGGCAATGCGCCCCCCACCATTCCCCAGCCTAGACAGACGCAGACTGCAGGTCCCATCGTCCCCAGCCCTTCAGGAGAATGGGTCATGCGGCTCCCACTATCCCGCGGCCTAAAGAGGGACAGACTGCAAGTCCCATCATCCCCAGTCCCTTGGGGGAATGGGCAATGCGCCCCCCACCATTCCCCAGCCTAGACAGACGCAGACTGCAGGTCCCATCGTCCCCAGCCCTTCAGGAGAATGGGTCATGCGGCTCCCACTATCCCGCGGCCTAAAGAGGGACAGACTGCAGTTCCCATCGTCCCCAGCCCCTTCGGAGGAATGGGCAACGCGTCTCCCATCATCCCTCGGCCTAAAAGGGGAGTTCCCATTATCCCCAACCCCTTGGGGGAATGGCCAATGCATCTCCCACCATTCCCCTGCCTATACAGGGACAGATTGCAGTTCCCATCATTCCCAGCCCCTTCGGAGGAATGGGCAATGCGTCTCCCATCATCCCCCTGGATTAGAGAGGGACAGACAACTGCTCCCATCATCCCCAGCCTCAAAGAGAAAGGAACAACCGCAGCTCCCATCATTCCCCAACCTAGAGAAGTACAGGCTGTAATTCCAGTTATTTTCGGAGGCTTGGGGGGAATGGACAGCTGGTTTTCCACCATCCCCCCCAACCTAGAGGGGGCACAGATTGCACCTCCCATCATCCCCAGCCCTTTAGGAGAATGGGGACGGCGCCTGCCATTGGCCAAACTCTGAAATCCCTGCCAATTAATTTCATTTTGACCAGGACTTTCTGGAGACTGAAGATGCCCCCAGGAAGCAGGGAAAGGAGGAGAAGACAACGGAGCCCCCAGCTGCAGATGGGGCCCCACTAGAAGTAGGTGGTCTTTCTGGGGAGGGGGCTGCATTTTCCTGGGGTTGGGGTTTCCCTGCTGGGACAGGTGAAGTACATATACTGGTTTTTTAAAAAAAGCAGCCAATTTCTCTCCCATTGGTTGCCTGACCCTCCTTTTAAACATGAGGAGGGGGGTCTTTCAGTGTCCCCCCTAATCCGTATGGTGGAGGTGGCCCAGCCCTCTCCAAGTTGGTGGGTGGTCCAGATTGTGCCAATCTCCTTTAGAATACGATACGATACGATAGAAAATAAGAATAGAATAGAATAAGGAATTAGAAAATAATAAAGAAACAAGTAAAAACAAATAAATAAACCAATATAAATTGTAAAGATAGAAGCAACGTGGTTACAGTCATAAGTGGGAAGAGATGAGTACTAGGAAGGAAGAGATGAATAATAGTCATACAGTCTTAGTAAATTATTTGACAGTGTTTTGGGAATTAGTTGTTTAGCAGAGGGGTGGCATTTGGGGGAAAACTGTCCTTGTGTCCAGTTGTTCTGGTGTGCGTGCAGTGCCCCATAGCATCGTTTTGAGGGTAGGAGTTGAAACAATTTATGTCCAGGATGCGAGGGGTCTGCAGATATTTTCACAGCCCTCTTTTTGACTCATGCAGTGTTACAGGTCCTCACTGGAAGGCAGGTTGGTAGCCATTGTTTTTTCTGCAGTTCTGATTATCTGTTGAAGTCCGTGTCTGTCTTGTTGGGTTGCAGAACCAAACCAGACAGTTATGGAGGTGCAGATGACAGACTCCATCATTCCTCTGTAGAATCAGCAGCTCCTTGAATAATTTGAGCTTCCTGAGTTGGTGCAGAAAGAACAATCTTCGTTGTGCTTTTTTGATGATGTTTTTGATGTTAGGTGTCCATTTTAAGCCTGGAGATACGATAGAACCTAGAAACAAGGACAGGTGTCCTTGGCACCAAGGCGTGAGTGTAACACAGACGTTCCTCTCAGATCGTACCTGGCTGCAGGTAAGTCCTGCCAGGTGCCCTTTTCAACTGTCCCTGCAGGGTCCGACCTTCATCCGGAGCAGACTAGATCTCTACACAGAGCTGAAAAAGAAGAGCGATGCGATTCTCCGCTCCAGAACATCTGGCCAAAGTCAGACAATCCAAATCAGGCTTTCCGATGGGAAGGTGACGGGCGGACAGGCCTGGAAGACGACCCCCTACCAGGTGGCTGTCAACCTCAGGTAAACTTTTGACATATCTGAGAATACAGCCCAGTTCTGCTTTTGCAGCTAAAACCAGTCTGGCTGAAATTATAAACCACTCTGCTCGATTGGAAATAAACGTGACAGTTTGGGCCTTTCCTATCTGTGATCTACAGCTGGCTTGAAAGTTTAGGAAGCCGGTGAGCAGAGGTAGACCCATAGGTGGAAAAAAAGACCACAAATGAATCTTGAACACCTTTAAATAAAACAAATTTATAACCTAAAACAACTGATCAGTGGAACAGAAGTTGCCTCCAGAAGTTGTGAATGCTCCAACACTGGAGGTTTTTAAGAAGAAGAAGTTGGATATCCATTTGTCTGAAATGGTGTAGGGTTTCCTGCCTAGGCAGAGGGTTGGACTAGAAGACCTCGGAGGCCCCTTCCAACTCTGTTATTCTATTCTCCTCTCCTCTCCTCTATTTTACTCTGCTCCTTATTCTCTTGTCTTCTACTCTACTTTACTCCTTATTCTATTCTACTCTACTCTACTCTACTCTACTTACTCTACTCCTTATTCTTTATTTTTATTTTTATTTTTCAAAACAAACACAACACATAAAATCTTCCTTTTTTACATACTGTAGAAAGTGTTATCAGTTGGTTTCAAAAGACTTTTCGTGCAGCTCTTCCACAGTCATCAAGCATAATTCATATTAACTGAAGTATTTTAACTCAGATATTTATACATATTACCATCATTATACCTCCATTTGACTACAATTGTTTAATTGTTATCCCTCCTTCCTTCCCTCCTTCCTTCCTCTACTCCTTATTCTATTCTAAAAAGTTACTTGGAAGAAGGTGTGTCTCAACCTTGGGTGCTTGCAGAGAGGGATGGACGTCAATTCCCAGAATCCCCCAGCCGGCTGGGG